GGGGTCCGGGTCCCCCAGGACCCCCCCCCCCCCACCCCGGTCCCCGATCCCTGGTAACAAGTATACATGCTGCACGAGAAATGGTCTATTAAGTATCATCGTTTTGTTTATACAAAAAAATAGTCACATATCAAATCAGATAATTTGTAAATTTGTCAATAAATTAATGTATCATGTCACTGAGTAACTTATTTATTTTCAAATATGACCGATACAAAATGACTATAAACAAACTTTTTAACCTTAGCAAAAGATACACTAATCTTTTATTAGAAATACATAAATGTAAACCAAAAATAACAAAAAAAAACATATATGGTCGTTACAAACAGCATTGCCATAGCTTGACTACAATCAAATCAATCTCAATCACACGTTTTCTACAAATGAAGAGACAAATCAAGTTTCTGATCTTTTTCCCTGCAGTCATCACCCCCATGGCTATGAATTTTATTCAATTTTGATAAATTCTGAGAGCATTCTTCATTGTATTTGTAGCCATTGCACCTTGTAGCACTTTTTTGCCAATTGGTCAAACTTTGATCATCTCCTTCACATTGATACATGTTATTCATATAGTTCCCTCTATACAATACCACATTCTGAAATCTGGGTGCACCATTTGATGCTCCAAAAGGGCTGGAAAATTGCTGGCCTTGAAATTGACCAAGACTGGCTGCATGGGCAGTAAGAATCCCAATTGGATAGTTGGGAGAAAACACTAATGGGGGATGTGAAAGTGAAGGGAAATTGTTTACAACATATTGGGAAGCCCCTTTGTTCTTTCTAGCAGAATTTCTCTCTTTTTTATGGGCATTTTGATGGCCTCCCAATGCTTGTGAACTGTGAAACTTTCTTGAACAGTATAGACAGGGAAATGATGTAACTATGTGATCTTCTGCAATACTGCTTGGTGAACCATGAGTTACATTCTCACCATCCATTCCTGTATAGTAACAATTAGAGACTAGAGAAAAAGGAAGAACATCAGTAATGTTTCGTACACAGTACTCAACTTGATTTGACAGAATAACAAACAAGACTTGAAAAGGCAAAATTTTGATTTTTTAAGTTCATATGTTACCTTTGGGTGGAAATGTATAAGCACAACTTTAGAAAGCTCGGGCACAAGGCTGGCAAGAATAGCAGAGAAAAGGGAACAGGAATGAGAGCAAGTACTAATTTTCAGAGTTTGAAGTTGGGTTTTTGATCTGATAAAAATGTAGTTGATCAGAAAGTGAGTTGGGAAATGTGAAGAGATGTCTGTGTGCAGCATTTATAGAAAGAGTGCTGTGCAGGCACAAGAGAGTGTATGGGCTTGGGGAACCGAGGAGATAAGAGAGGAATCAATGTACAAGTATCCTCCATTACGTTTCTGCAAGCTGAGGCAAAGAGAGTGATTGGTGGATGAGGATAGAAGAGAGAGAGATTCCATTTTCAACTTTTGCAGGAGTTCTCAATCTCCTCTTTAATTCTTAGTTTTATTGCTGTATAGTGGAACAAAGGATCTGTTTTTACATCTAGTGGAAGAGTTCAAGAAGGTACTTTGTCCACTTGTCAATGTTTTTACTTCTACTTCTAATAGAAAAGTTTGATGAAAAAACTATTTTAGACCAGCTTCTTCTAAATACTCTTTAAATCAGACAAACACTTAAAAAAAATTATTTAAACATGTTCCAAATCAACTTCTTAATCTATGAAACATCTTTTGACTTTTCAAATTTCCCGTCAAAATGGACCCTCCGACCATGTTTTTATAGTCGATCCCAAACTAAAATAAAGGGTCGAATATGGTAGATCGATATTCATGTAAAAGCTTTATTTCATCTAGCGACATAAATCGGGACACATAATATTATTGTAGATAATTGAGATTGTTGAGATTTTTTTACTATGAAGCACGGGTCCATCTTAACTGACAGATGTGATATCCTCAAGGGCATCTCATTGGCATATTTGATTACTTATATACTCATTTTGATCACATAAATGAGAAATTCATTATGTGACGTAGAGAGAAGAGATTGAATAGAAATCAGGGGGCGAGATGAGCAGAATTTTGGAGAATCGAGTAATTCATAAGCGAGTAGTCCCCCACTAGGTTCAGAGAGGTAGTTGCCTCTGTATTTAGGTTCCATTTGAAAAAGGTTCTGCTCTTGTATTCTGCCAACAATAAATAGTTATGGGAAGAACCACTAGCTATTCGCCCCATATCATCTGACTCCCTACCGCCAGCTCTATGCAACTTGTTACTTTTCAGCCATTCGTTGCATGCCCTGGATTAGCAGTGGTCCATTTTCCCAAATGCTATATCAATTGTTAGAGCATCTTCAATAGTTTCCTTCAAGTCTCATTCTCTTTTTTTTAAGACTCTCTACCACTCTATCTATATAATAATTTTAATGTTTTCATTTATTGTTTTACAATTTCCATCGAAATAAGAAAAAAGAACAATTTAAGCAAGGAAGAAGTTGAGTAATAAAAATGAAGAACGATAGTGAATACTGAAAAATCAAAATAAAGATGAAATATACACGGTATTATTTGATTCGTACCAAAAATATGCTCTTTATTTTTAATTATACCTCAAGATGCTCTTTTACAATAAATAAATAGGACGCTCTTTAAAATAAAGAGCGTAGTTGGATATGGTCTTAGTACATTAAATTTGATGCAATTGAATTTCCCTATTTTATTTGAATGTTTATCACTGATATAGTCAATATGAGATGTGACATTAAATGATATGATTAATAAAATGATTATCATTATATGATTTCACCATAGTGAGTCACGATATATTAGAGTGCATTAAATAATTAAAATATTCTCACACAATCTAACAAACTATATGAGTATATTTCTATCCCCATTCAAATTTATAATTAACATTGTTTCAATCTAACCTCAAAGATCTACTCTCAATCTCATCGGTTCACGAATCATTCGAAATTTGACCTCACTTTTAAAGGCATCAAATTCAACAAAGGAAAACGGCAAGATGATAACTATCCTTTAATATCAAATATGAAAGTACAATTTAATCATTAAAACTAGGGAAAAATTCATAAATAAGATGTATACTTTACACAAATTCAAAAATCAGATTTTTTTTATTAAATCAATTTATTATTAAATATTTAATTCTAATATAATATAATTAACTCATCCTACATGCACCACCCATACCACTCCGAGAACTATTCCGACGACCATTTCGACCACCACTCTTCTCCGGATACCGTTTCGACGACTGCTCCGATTTCAACGATTATTTCGACAGCTATTCCGGTGACTATTCTGGTCACAGATTTACAATTTACGATCACAGTTCAAAAGTTTATATGTCACAATTAATTCGTTGGTCACAGACTTAAAAATTAGTTGGTCACATATCAAAATTTATAGGTCACACATTCACATATTTCCAAATTAATTGGTCACAGATTTTTTTGACGATCACAGATAAAAAATGGTTAATTTCATTGATCACATATTTTCAAATTTGTTGATCAAAGATTATTTTTCAGTCACATATTATCAAATTTTTAGGTCACGGTTAAATACTTTGTCACAGATAACCAAAAACTTGGTCACATACTACGACACTACTTCAGCCACCACCATCACACAAAACACCTCCACCACCCACAGCCATCAAACAAAGGACGGCCACCACCCCAACCGCCGATCTACCACCACAGACGTCACCACACAAAACACCTCATATCCCATTATATCCCCGCCGAGAAAACCACCGCAAAATCACAACCAAAATCATAACCAACAATAACACCAAAATCACCACCACCGAGAAAACCACACAGAGAAATCCGCCAGCAGTGTCGTGACGCCACACCTAGTTCAAACAGTAATCCGTCTCCTAAAAAAAAGGACAAACACAGTCAACCGCCGCCTCAACATCTCCAACCCTCCTCCACCACCAACCAGCAGTCAACCCAACAATTGCAATAGCCACCAACCCTAAATCCCAATTGAAGCAGCCGCAACCCACCACAAATCCCACCCTCGCCCAAATCGCCGACCACCGGTCACATCCAAACTTAAAATCGCCACCAACCGTAACTCCACTTCTTTCCCATCCCAATACAACCACAACCGCCCACAAATCGCCCCGCCTGCAACTCTGCTGCAGCCTACAAAAGAAACACCGAGCAAAACAAAAAAAATTCGCATAGTTGCTTTGAATTCAGCAGCGCCCACAGCAGCGTCGCAACGCTGCTGCCGTAGATAGGGAGGGAGGAGGAGGAGGGGGAGAGACTGCCAGTGACTGTGGAGGTGGCGGGCGGTGAGAGAGGGGAGACAAATGGTGAGAGACGAGAGTTGATTTTGGGTTCTTATTTAAAATAGATTTGGTGGGGGTAGTTTAAAATGATAAAAACTTGATTTTTGATTAAATAAAGTCTAATCCTGATTTTTAGAAAGTAATCTTTAAAGAACTGATTTTTTATAATTTTTCCTTAAAACTAGGCTACATAATGCGTACCGTTCACCAAATACAATCAAATAAAGTTTATTAACAGTATTGTGCATATTAGAAATAAAAGAGGAAAAACGAGAAAGAGCGCATGGGAACCTTGGGACTGGGGTGGTTTTTTATTTTCTTCTTCAATTTCTCTTATTTCCTTGTCCAAACCTTCAGGTTAACCTAAACAATGGGAACTCGACAAAATCAATGGAAAAACGAGTTAAACAAGTATCAATCCTACAAGGTCAAGGTCTTTAAAAGTGTAAAACTTACACTTACTAACACTAGATATGACAATGAGACGTGGCATCGCATGAATATGCGAGGCTGGGAGGGTCAGGACGGGACAACCTCTTGTCCGTTTATAAATTTAGTTACAAGACAAAAACAAACCCTTTATTAACTACGTATGATTTCAGTGAACACTAATTAGTACGTATTGTCTATCCGTGAAAATAATAAACAATCAACATGTGCATGTAATAATGAGATCACATTTGAAATCTAGCACTGTCGAATTCATTATGTTTGAAGCATAAGAACTAAGTCACTTCATTCACACGCCTCATCATTTTTACAAGGTAACAAATTAGTTTGATGGGGATTAAAATTAGATTTTTTAGTAAATTCTGATAAAAGTTAATGAAATGTGTAATTGGAAAGTTGTGAAATCAAGAAATATGTTGTTGAAATTAATTATTGACTTTGACTTAAATTAAAATATGGATTTTAATTTGTACCAAATAGGGTTAAATATCACAATACAATTAGTCATCAACTTACAATGCAATTATCAAAATTTGGGTCACACTTGTAACTTAGTTAAAAAAAACAAGGATTAGAAGATTTTCATGCGTATATGTGCGGTACAATTTTCGATTTGATGGTCACAATCAAGTATTCAAAATTCACATCGATATTCAAATTGATTACTAGAATAAATCTTAATTATACGTCGTGAATAAGAGATTCAAACTCTTGTGCATCACAATTTATGTAGAAGACACAAAGAAAAGAGCTTTAGCTCGACTGGAAATTTTAATTTGGTAAATTTTGGATCAATTGTGCTAGAAAAGCGTTTCAATTTCAGAGACCTTTTATCTTTTTCCACAATAGTAAATGTTGGGAAATATGGCACAATGAAGTATTGGGCCTTGGCAGAAAATTGGGCTGAATATGTTGGGCAATTGAGCTGGACCTTATTACTTGGAGGCCTTAGGAGACTTCTTTCTAGAAAGTAAAAGGCAAAGGCTGGGCATATAGTTCTACACGTGAAATTGAAAAAAAGAAACACATTCTCTCAGCTCTCTCTCTCTGCGAACTCTCTGTCCTCTTCATGGTTCTTTGATTTTGCATCTTTGAAGCTAGAAATCTCTTGTAATCTTCAATAGTATAGTGGCTATACATTCTTGAGTGAATTGTAGTGAGGCTATTGTGTTTCCTTGTGTGGATTCT